AGAAAAAGAAGGGGAATGTATGTGGGAGTCACAAATAAACCTGGTGGAATGGAATGAGGCTTGGGGTCTGAAGGTTGAGGTCAAGTCCTGACCCAAACACTTACTGACCGTGTGACCTGGAATAAGTAAGTCCCTTCACTTCCAAAACGGAAGGAACTGGAGGACATGATCCCTGGGGTCCTACCCAGCATGGCCAAGCTCAGCTTCCATTACGAACATCCTTCCAAATTTCTGAGAATTTGTGCAAACAAAATAGACTCAAATGAACTTACTTGTCCACAGAAATGTTATTACGTGTTAAGTCATGCATGGAAATGTGTGGACGATCAAGTGGAGACACGCGGAGACCCTGTCTGCTGAGAGCAAATGCGCCCAAGGCATGCCGGTCGAGAGAGTCAGAGCAAGAACAATCCCGGGAGAGAGGGAAGGCTGTTTGCTGGGCAGGGCGGGCGCCCCGAATAAAGGCGCCCTCCCCTGCCCCCTGCGCCACGCCAGAGCTCTACCCCCCGCCCCCTCACCTGCGTAGGAAGACACGGGGGAAATCTGCAGAGGGTACAGCTCGCTCATGCTGACCGGCTGCTCATCGCTCTCGGTGGTGACCTCCACCACCTGGCAAATGTCTGGCGGGTTGGTGACAATCTCTTGGTCCTCGATGTTGCTGTCCAGATGTGACTGCCCTACAACTTCAAAGAGAGGAAAGCTGTCACGCACCAACGCCTCCCGATGCCAGTTCCCACACACTCTCAGGACTGAGCACCTTCCCCAAAAGAGCCGACCAGTCAGGGCTCAGCGTCTCGGTTACCACGTGCCAACGGCCGGCCGTGAGACCAAGACCAAGCCCCGGGCTCCTGGGACTGTTCCCAGCAGCCTGCCCACGTCCTTACAGGGGCAACGTCCCACCCCAGCCCAGGCCCAGCCACGGCTGTGGGACCAGAGGCTGCATCCGGACCTCGCCCCAGGCTCAGACAGTGCCTGGAACGGACCCATTTCTGTTCTCTGCTCCTGCTCCAAACGAAGCTGTGTGCTATGTTCCGAGTCCTAGGGTTCAGAGACACATGCTCAAATCTTAGTAGGAAGGAAGGACCACCCCAATCCACCCACCGTGGATTTAGCTGTGGAGTGTCCTGTTCATTCTCCCCAGGCCACGCGCCTGCTGGATGAAAGAGCAGAGCGGTGGGCAGATGCTCGCCCAGTTCTAACTCACTCACATGAGTAGCATCAACTCCCCAGAACACTGACAAGATGAATTCTGACCACCTGGCTCGGAATCCTGCCTCCCGTTTTTAAATCAAACCTTTCAGTGTGAGATTATTATAGATTCGCAAACCGCAGTAAGAAATAATAGACAGATCCTGTGTGCCCTTCACCCAAGTTTCCTCTGATGGCAACACCTCGCAGAACCATAGGACAAGGTCAGGATGCTACTGACAGCCGCCCATGCATCCGCTCCGATCTCCTCCGTCGCCGTATTCTGCGTGTGCTGATGGGTGTGTACTTAGTTCTATGCAGCTTTATCACAGACACAGCTTCACACACCCGCCCCACAGTCACCAACACAAGCATCTCCTGTTACTTTTCCTTCAGCCACCCCTTCTCACTAATCCCTGACACCCACCAACCTGTCTCCCATTTCTCTACTTTTGGACATTTCAAGAGTGTGTTCTCAACAGACTCACACAGTAGCCTTTTGAGCTTGGCTTTTTTTTCCTCACTCGGCATAATCCCCCGGAGGTTTATTCATCCAGGTTGTGTGTGCCGAGAGGTGTGTGTATCGAGAGCTGGTCCCTTTTCGCTGCTGAGTGACAGTCCATGGTTGGGATGTCCCTCGGTCTAGCCACCCTCTGAAGGACTTTGGGGTCACGTCCATCCCTTGGCTGTTACAAACAAGGCTGCTAAGAACATCGGTGTGCAGGTTTTGTATAAACGTAAGCTTCCATTTCTCTGGGATGATGTATCCCAGGAGTGCAGCTGCTGGGTTATATGGCAATTACATGTCTAGTTTTACAAGAAACTGCCAAACTGTTACCCAGAGTGGCTGCACCATTTTACATTCCCACCAGCACGGATGGATAATCTTTTTTTTAAAAACCCTCACCTGAGGACATGCTTAGAGAGAGGAAAGGGAGGGGAGGAGAACATCAATCGGGTTGCCTTCCGTACCTCCAGGACTGGGGATCAAACCCACAATGCAGGTGTCTGCCCTGACCAGGAATCAAACCGCAACCCTTTGGTGCATGGGATGACGCTCAACCTACTGAGCCCGGCTGGGCTGGATAACCTAACTTCCGCACAGTCTCTCCAGCTTTTGGTGTGGTCACTATTTTTTTATTTTTTAGCCATTGTGACTCATCATAGCTTTAATTTCCTGCTCTACCCCTAATGCCCTGCCTACTGTTATCCAGAGCTGACCTCATACTTCAGTGGGCAATTAACTGGACGGAACACACCTGAAACTGGACCAACGAACAAACGGGCATAACACTGTTTTCCCCGGACCGCAGCACGCTGCCATCGTGTGTAAGTTATTTTAACATTTCCCGCCCTGGAAACGACAGGGCAAGCATCACCACCGTTACAAATACAGCCACCAGGCACAGAGACGCGGAGTGCCTTGTCCAAGGCCACACAGCTGGGACCACGCGCGGTGCTCTGTCCCGGACGTCCCCCCGGCCACCTGCAAATGTTCAGGTCCGGCAGGAAGACAACACTCCCGTCTCCTGGAGAAGTCAGCCTTCCCGGCCAGGTCCTGTTTTCACGGCTCACAGTCTTTTCTTTTTTCTTTAAATATATTTTATTGATTTTTGTTTACAGAGAGGAAAGGAGAGGGCCAGAGAGTCAGAAACATCGATGAGAGAGAAACATCGATCAGCTGCCTCCTGCACACCCCCCACTGGGGCTGTGCCCGCAACCACAGTACATGCCCTTGACCGGAATCGAACCTGGGACCCTTCAGTCCGCAGGCCGACGCTCTATCCACTGAGCCAAACCGGTCAGGGTGCTCACAGTCTTTTCATTGCTCACACATTTTTGTTTATAAGTGGTTCCTGCTCTGACTGCGTTTTGGGGGTGATGAAAAGACGTGTGTAAGGCAGGGAAGGGTTGGGGGGCATCCATGGATCGCTAAGGCAGGCTGGGAGAGGAGACTCGGGGTGTGACAAGGGTGCACAGGGCGCAGCACGTGGAAGGGGAGGGTAGGGAAGGTGGATGCTGCCTAGGTTTTCCTGGAGGGGAGGAAATTAAAGCAAAGAAAGGCAGGCGAAACCTGGCGGGCAGGCTCCCGAACTCTCCCTTGACCCTTGGGGCTACCTGTCTGAGCACGAGAACATCAGTCACACAGTTCACTGGACACACACGGAGCGCGACACTGACCCCTCTCACGTTCCTCCTGCCTCTTCTCCCAAATAAAATAAAACAGCAGGAAGCGAGACTTCCCACGTCCTAGAAGCACTTAGGGGTGGAGACAGAAACCTAACGGGTGTCAGAATGTGTCCGAGGAGAGGGGTGTATAGGGGTGTACGCAATACCCACTCTCAGGCCACTCAGATCTTATGTGCGTGTGGTTGGTATCAAAGCCGCTTTAACTTCCGATGCTGCGCTGCCTTTCCCACAGACACAGCAGCTCGCTGGGGGCATAAACAGTGCCAGCAGCTCAGCATCTTCCTACTTTTACCCCTTTGTTCAGACCAAAATTCTCTCCCTCACTGTTGCTTTTTAATCCTCATCTGAGGACACTGGTTTATTGACTTGAGAAAGACAAAGAAAGAGAGAGATCATTGTCTCCTGCACACACCCCAACGGGGGCTCGAACCCACAACCTTTTGGTGTACAGGACGACACTAACTGAGCCGCCCGGCAGGCCTCTCCTCACTGTTTTCCCACAATGCCCAACTCTGTGACTCAACTAACAAAGACTAACTGAGCACCTACTTCGCACAAGACTTTGTTGTCAGGTACGGGGGGCAGAGAGGGCATGTGGTCCAGGACCTGGTGTGTGAGAGAGAAGCCAGCAGGGCCACCGCCGGCACATGGTGATGAAGAGTAAGTTTAGCACAGCAGCGGGAAGAAGGGGAAGCGGGGAGAGGCCATGTGATGCGAGTGGAGGAAGTGGAGTGTTTTTTCCAGTTCGAGGAATCAAAGGCTTCAATGAGGCGGTGACAGGGATGGGGAGGAGGGGAGGAGGGCCAGCAACAGGCAGGATTCACAATGCCTGCTTTTTTTGGAGCCTTTTCCCGGCCACCCCAGAACAGACTGACCTCTCTTTCCTGAGCGCCTCTCACTCACTGTCCCCGCTGCTCAGCCAAAACTACAGCGTGACACGCCTTGTGACACTGCCTGACGTTCTGCTCCCACTGTGAGTTAAGTCCATATGTCTTCATCTAAGCTTCTAGCTGTGGTCATCTCCCCATCACATCAGGGCCTCTGAGAGAGCTGAGGACCCGCACGAGAACCAAGTCACAGCAGGCGCCCCTGCCCGGCACCGGAGAGCAGCTCAGCGCGTCTCTGCTGGATGAATGAATGGGCAGACCGGGCTCCCTGACGGCAGCGAGTCCTGCAGCGGCCCACAGCCACTTGCAAACACCGGGCTTCACACACGTGTTTTCTAGAAAATGTCAGGACATGCAGCAAGTGGGTTTTTCAGACCTGGATTAATGGTCACTGTTCCAGAAGCTGCAGGTAGAGGAGGAATGTCTTGGGCTGATGAAAATGTCCTGTCTTAACTATAGTGGTGGTTACACAACAGCATGCACCTGTCAACATTCACAGGCCTGTACGCCTAACAGGGGTTAATGTTACTGTGCTTCACCTAAGCTATGTGACTTAAGACAAAAAAGTAGATCCGCACCTTTACTCAACTTTTAAAATTACATTTATTGGGTAACAGTAGTTAAAAACATTAGCCAATTTCAGGTGTACAACCTGATACATCTACACCTGTCTGCGCTATTGTGTGCGCACCACCCGAGCCTCATCTCCTCCGTCGCCAGGTATGTGACCCCCCTGACCCTCCTCTTCTGAATGCTGGTGACCGGGATTCAGAAGTCAGTCTCTGTTTCGGGCTACAATCCACATCCCCAGTTAAGATCATTACATCGTCCCTCAGGCAGCGGCCCCAGGAGTGCGCTGCTGCGCGCCTCGGGCAGGGACAACCCTTCTCTCCCGGAACAGCGCTGTGGACACTTCAGAAGTTGTCCAACTCGGAGTCGCAACCCAAGGGAGAAGCACGGCACTCCCAGCATCTGGATGCTCTCTGCATGTACTGCAGGCACCATCCGCCCCCCAACCCTCTCTCTCCCTCCCTCCCTCTCTCTCTCCATGTGAACGCACCTCCCCGGACCACCAAGCTTTGCCTCGGGTGGTAACATACAGTGACCCTTGACTCGTGACAACTGAAAGGTCAAAAAAAGAGCAAACGTTCAGCAATCGACGGCCAACACGGTCAGAGGCGGCACCCTCTGGTAAGTAATCACAAACCTAACATCTCCTGAGCACTTAGCTCTGCCCCTCCCACCCCCCACAGGACCCCACCTCCCACAGGAAGTACAGCTCTCATCCTCATTTAGATGGGAGGCCAGACATCCCGGAGGGTTAAGTAACAAATTCAAGGTCAGAGAGAGTTAAGTGGCACAACCAGGATTCAAACTCAGCGTCCCCTGACCCAGAGCTCACCCACGTGCTGCACAGC